CCAAATTTTTAGTGCTAAAAGTTTCCCAGTGTAATTAAAGGCTGAGCTGATCTAATTAGGTTGATGAAATTTTCAGTAGGGATTTAATTCCCCCTAGCATTTCACTATTTTTTTTTTCTAGAATCCCTCCTTAGGCTTATCCCGAAAGACTTACTGGTGACATTCAAAATTGTCTCACACAGGAAATGTCTCCCCTCAAACAACAAACCTCCAGCAGGTGCATATGGCTAGGAACAAACTTCAAATAAAAGATACTAGGCCGTTTTTTGTTTTTTTTTTTAAGACAATCCTTTCCACCTTCTTCACTTTCATTTCCCTATCAATAAACTATGTTAAATAATCTTCACTGCAGGAGGGAAATAGGTGTTTCAAAGCATTTTGGAGGAACAAAGAGACTAAGAAATGCCTAATAACAGTAGATTCTGAGGCAAAATTAACGAGGGAGTGGCACAACTCTTCCTTGTAAGTCATTTACTACAGAAGCCTTCATGGTCCAAATAGAGGCATAAACACAAACCAGTGGAATTTTCATCTATCTTTGAAGATTAAAAAAAAAAAAAGAATCTCTAATGAGCACCTTAGGAATCAACTGTAATGCCCTTATACGGAAAAATGCTTTCCCAAGTAGCTTTAAGGTAAATGGGTAGGGCGGTAGGTGTCCTCTGACAGACCCCAGGTGCCTCACTCTGATGTCCTGATTTATCTTTCTGCTGGTCCCTCTTTTGTTGCAGCAGTCACTCAGAAACTGCTTGCTAGGAAATTTAAATTTCACTAAAATGATAAAAAATTCTTAACCAGCATATATTTCAGCTTTTACTCAGTGTTTTAAAAAATGCAAAGAATAGAAGCAAATGTTTCTTTTTTTTTTTTTTTTTGAAGCAAATGTTTCTACCAGAGCATGGTTTGTATCACCTTTGCAAAAATTAGATTTACAAAGAATATTTTTAAAGACCTATCATCCTCTAGGAATTTCAAAGATGTGGGCTATATAATGGTAATTTATAATTTATAATTTTTTCCTTTAACTTTTCTCAAATTTATATCTTTGAAAGTCATTTTCAATGAGCTCAAACATTTCTCTAGAGACTTTCTGATTTATTTATGATGAAATTTAAATAATTAATAAAAAAAAACTACTTTGATTGCCTTATTACAAATTCCTGTCCATTCAAGGTTCCCTCTTTTTTTAAAAAAACAAATTCAGATTAGGTTTTGCCAAATTACATTAAACTACTTTTACTTTATTTTGAAATTTGATGATCACTAAAATATAATAACACTTTCCTTAATGAGGGTTCATTGCTCTACATGCAAGCCGAGTCTCATTTCAAATAGGCATTATCAAATACTGTACAGGGAAAGCCCTGTTTCTAATGAATAGTAGATTATGAGTTGTTTCATCCTGTTGAGTAATGTCTTTTTTTCCCATCTTAATCCTTATTTTTTATATTTACTTATTTGAGAAAGAGAGAGGGAGAGAGAGAGCCATTTGGGAGGGGCAAAAGGAAAGGGAGAGAGAGAGACTCCTAAGCAGGTTTGACGCCCAGTGTAAGCGTGACACCGGACTCCATTTCAGGATACTGAGATCATGACCTGAGCTGAAATCAAGAGTTGGACACTCCACCGACCGAGCTATCAGGTGTCCTTACATTTTACTTTTTAAAGAATGAAGGTGAGAACTAGTGAGAAAGGTAGGCCATCTCTATTTTTGTATTGAGGCCACTGTTTACATTAGAACAGAGTCAGCCACTGAAAAATTCTATTTTATCTGACAGTATTGTGTGTTCTACCCCTGTCACCCTTCCTTGCTCTTGGGTAGGTCAGGTAACTTCTCTAGGTCTGTTTCTCCATTTCCAAAATAAGGAGGCTGGACTTGGAGAATAACTTCCAGGATCCTTCTTAATCTGATACTCCAAAATTTCTTCTGTTACTTCAAACATGGTATTACTAGTAGCTCCCCCCAGGATTGGTTACCCTAAAAGGGATTACATAACAGATTGAAAAACAAATTGTTATGAGCCATAAATGAAACCATAATTAAGATTTTAGACACGCAATGTGCTCCACAGCAGGAAGCTTACAGAAGCTCGAGGAAGGCTTACTTGGGCTTAGTGTTAAGAGATGTGATGAGAAGGAACATGGACATGTTCCTCTCTTTTCAGTAATTCTACAAAGCTCGTCTATCTGAAATGAGGTGATTTAACTCCAAATCTATGGCACTTTGTCACAATTTCATTGCAGCAGCAGGAAGAACAGGGCATTCTAAATAAATAGTAACTCAGACATGCACAGAAACTATGACCCATCCAAAAGTCCTCCAAGTAAGGTATGTTCTGATTTATGGGCTGACTGTACTTGTACCTTTCCACCCTCTACTGTTTCAAGAGGACATAAAGTGAGGGAGATAACACATCAGAAAAAAAAAAACAAAACAAAACAAAACAAACCAACAGACAAAAACCTGGCAGCACTTGTTCCATACACATCCCCCAGGCTGTGGGAGAGAGAGACAAGGGAGATGCCCAATCAATAAAGAGGAATGATATCAATCCAAAACCTGTAGAGATAATGACAGGAGTGAACCTTCATTATATGGACTCAGTAGGGGCTAATTAAATGTCACATGGAAGACCACTTGGCTTGTTTTTGCTCTAGTGATTTTTGTGATTGAAAAACCAAATAAAAATATATGAGTTCTAAAATGTATCTCTACTACTATTAACATTTAAACATTATAAATGTTAATTTGACATACAGTTTAATCTGAAACTGCAATTTCAGATCACGGCAATCCATTGAAGTTTCCTACACCAAAAAGTTGCCCTGCCATGCTGAACTTTGAGAAGATGATGAGGCTCACCTGAACCTGGGTGTTCACTGCAGAAAACTGCATGTTTTTACTGGATACACAAAAGAGCTCTTTGGCTGCATTCATGTTTCACCAGAGATTCTTAGATCCCCTTTCCTTTTCCTACTCCACAGCAGGACTGACTTTCCATGGATGAAGCAGGGTCTAGGGCCTGACTGACTGTAGCCTGGTCTCATATGAATGTGAAGAAATGGGGTAGGTGGGTGGAAGTGTGGTTTTGTGCCCCCCTCTTCAACATCTCCTTTACTAGAAGGAGATTTTAGGCATCTTATTATGAAATCTAGAGTTTGTGTTTGTGTTTTGCTTTTACCGTGTTTCTCCCTAATCTGAAACGTGTTCTCTATCCTTTGCTTACCCAAACCATAGTCATCCATCAAAACTCTCACATTTTTATTCTTCTGTGTATCTTCCTTGTCTACTCGATCTCTCACTCATTTCATTCTCTTGGACTCCAAAGGGCTTAACTCTTCCACGCAATTTAACTCCTTGACCCTCACAGTCTATTACACATTTCTTTTCTTTTCTTTTCTTTTCTTTTTTTTTTTTTTTTTGGCCCTATTACACATTTCTAAAGCTGTTTCAGTTTGTAAGCAACTTGAGACTTTGCACAATCTTCCATGGCAGGGACCCTAACACAAATTTCTATTGAGACACTGTGTATTATGGTTGTTAAGAGCACAATGGATTCTGACATTGGACTTCTTTGATTAAGTTCTAGGTTTTAGTACTTGTTGGCTGTGAGACTTGCTTAAGAAACTTACCTGCTCCAAAACCTGATACCTTGCCTGAAAAAGGCAGATAATGAAATTACTACCTATATTGTGAAGATCCCTGTAAAGTTCTTAGGACAGCATCAGGCACAAAATAAGAGTTCAAAGAAAAATTCCAATACTATTATTAGAATAATGAAAATCATAATTATTTTATTATGCTCACAGAGCGTAGCAAAGTCCTGGGTCATATGACATTTATAAAAGGTGGAAGTTATTCTCTCAGAGGCAATTGATCCTTTCCACCACAAAGTATGGTTAAATTCAACTTTTCAAAACCCCATCTCCTTGTATTTATTAAAATAATAGTATTTTAAATTCCTCTTAGGTTTCTTCTATACCCCATCCACTACTGGGCAATGAAGTATGTTTGCATACATGGAGGAGAAGTAAGGATGTCATGAACAGTAACTGTTATTCACTGATGCTTACCTGAATCAAGTTTATATGATTGGAATATTTTCTTTAGAATAAACCAAAGTATGTAACTGCTTATCAGCAATCATAGCTAATAACTTATAAATTCAAAGTTATTAAACTTTATGTTTTGGAGGTATACACCATTAAACTGTACCCATACAAGAGAAATCTCTAGTTCTAACAACCAAAAGACCCTGGGTTCTACTTGATTGAAAACAGGCAGCTTTTATGAAAAAAAAAAAAATGTTGATATAAGTTGAAGTTCAAGTACTTCCCAATCTTTTTGTCCCCATACTACAATAGGTTCCAATTATATCAAGAGTTACAACAGATAAGGACAGCTGAGTATGAGGGATGAAATTACTGGTGTCTTTTAGCCTGATAGTTTTGCTCAGGTAAAATCAAGTATGCTCATCAGATCACAGATGAAATGGCTTCACTTCCTTTGGAACATATTTCAAACATAAGAACAAAATTATTTCATCACAAGGACTCATTTTGTTTTTGCTTTAGGTAGCCTCTCTCTGGTAGCCTGATTTTTTTTTCCTTCTCTCTTCCTGTAATGATCAAATAAATCACCGCTGTATTAAAAACACCTAAGACAGTTAAAAAAAAATTAGCAAGGTATCGAACTTGACTCTAGATTCAGTCTTTCTTTGTGTTTGATTTTCTTTTATAGCTAATATGCGATTGCCCATGCAGATCTTAACTGTGACTTAACTTACAGACTGTGAAAGAAGAGGCACTTCATTCCTTCATAATGTTCTATGAGTTGTCCCCCTCCCCCACCAATCCTATACAAACAACAGTAGAATATTGAATTTAAGGTCGTGTGACTATGGATTCCTCAAACACTGGGTCTTCAGCAAAGGTGCTTTCAGTCCGGATCTGAAATGATGCGATCATGGGTTAGGAATGATTCTGGTGACAGTGATATTTACCTCTTTGAGACAGCCCATAAAGTTGTTACTGACTGGTGACCCTGGAAGGTCTGCTGTGCTGGGACTGCCTCCCACATAGAAAAAGTCATCAGACCCCAGCATGGTATAATCTTCTTGCGTGTAGCCCGTTGTGGTAAGAATCCCATCCACTGATATTGTCACCTAGATAACAAAGCACAGGGAAAGGACACGCTATACTCAGACCTAGATACTGTAATCCTGGGATATGCCTGTTTTGTGTTTTGTTTTGTTTTATTTTTTTTTTTTTTTCATTTTGTTTTTTGCTTTTTTTTTTTTTTTCTGTTTGTTTGGTTTTTTATTTTCAGACCTATGGCGGAACCCATTTTCATGTCTGTTTGAAGTTTATTCTTGGATTCTATTCAACTAGCCCTAAGCGATCTAAACTAGTTAGAGAGTTAACTGATTATTGAACTAGTATCAGCATCATCCCTACTGCAACTCAAAAGTTATTTAGCAGACACAAAAATGGTGTTAGTAAAATGCTTCCTAGGTTAGTTTTGCTGGTGTACATATTAGTAAAGTTTAGTCGTCTGTTATTAACTAATCACAACGTGCACCTTGTTAACATAAAAGGCGCAAGCGATTTCCAGCAACGTCACTATTTGCACTATTGAGCAGCAGTTGTTCAGCATGCAAGTGCCTAGGTCCATGCCGAAGGGGAGGAAAGGCAAAACAACCCGTGGAAGCAGCACACGCTGATGTGCACATGCAGGAGGGACAGTACAGTTCAGAAAGGAAAGGAAAGAAAACGGGGAGAACCAAAGGAAAACAAAACAAAACAAAACAAACAACTGCTTTGTGATGACGTAAAGATGAGTGGGTGTGGCATCTCCAACATTCCCCAGTCAGGTGTGCATGCCATGCATCATGAATGGTTAGAGACTGGCTGAGCTTGCGGTCACTCGGGCCAGCCACCATTTTGTCTTATCCCGTGTTAACCACAGCTGGATGCAAAACGTTCGAAACGTTAACGATGCCCCTACAGGTGAGTTGGAAAACAGAAGTTGACAGGAACAGGTGAAAAATAAGAAGGTCAACAACGGATGAAAAGAAGGAGGTCAAAGTAAGCAGAAGAGTACCAACCGCAGTTCCTCTTTTGTTAATGATGTCTACAGTTAAAAGAAAGAAAGAAAACACACGGCAAACCCAAAATAAGAAACAATTAGAATGATATCTACCGAACAATGTAGTTTGTTTACCATAGCGTGTCCAATGCCTGAGTGCTTTGTGGAGAAGGGGGGAGAAAGGAAATTAAAAACTGTGAACAGAATAACGATCGTTACTTAAAAAATATGATGGTCTCTACCATGTTAGTACATTTTTTGATTCAGGTAACGGTTAGTAGAATGAAACATTCCATGAATGACATGTTAGTTATTAAGCATGTTAGTAACATAGAAAAAGGGCAAAAAAATTTTACAAGAAAAAAGCAGACTAACAAATAGGCCTCCCACAGAGGTAATATTTTTCCTGCCGGGGTATTGTTCATAACTTGCTACTAGATAGAAACAGACATATGGCAACGCTCCCTTTGTCTCCCTGAGTACATCTGACGGTCATTTAAAAAGTCTACAAGGGATTCAAAGGCGTAAAGCTCATCAGCTGACCACTGCCGCCTTATGCCCGGAAGTGATCCCTCCCCCCCCCACCCTGGCCCACCCCAGCCCCAGCAAATTCATAGGAATTGGTTGGCATTGCCCTACTACGCAATTTTACAGCACACAAGGACTCCTCCTCAACTCCAAAACTTCCTTCGGTCATATTGATGGACTTTAGGGTCACAGTTTACTGCAATGAAACAAAGCAAAGATCCTGACACATAGAATGAGTAGAATGGATTTGTTTTTAATCTGTCCTGCCACACATGCACCCCGGCTGTATAACCACAGTTTCCTTTGAGCTACCAATTCGAAGTTTGGTTTGTAACCTGAGCAAAGGCAAATCTAGAAAGCGGGCTCCTCAAGCCCCACCCTTCCCTCTGTGCTTCTCTCAAATGAGCCTCCGGTCTCTTGGTGAGAATCTGAGAGAAAAAATAAAAAAAGGAAAACCAAAGAGACAGACTTATAGGGAAATCCGTGGTCTCCTGCTGCACTGAGGGTGGGTGACTCTCTCCCAAGGCAGGTGTGAAGCATGCAGGGCCCCTCCCATGCCAACAGGCCTCTGAAAGGTCTTTGAGGGTCTAAGAATCCTTCTGTTTTTCTTGGGTACCTTTGCTAGACTATGTCTGCACTTCTAAAAAAATTTTTTTTTTTTTTTTTTTTTTTGCCTCAAGTTTGGACAGTTTAAGCCTTTCAGAAGCGGGAAAGAAAAGGTTAGATGGTTAACAGCTCAGAAAGAGAGGGCTGTTTTAGTAAAGGAAAACCAGAGACAATCCGGTCATTCTGCAACTGTTCAGAGAAACAACAAATATGTTAAGGATATTAGTTTGAGATCAGCATGTACTGCAGAAAAATTAGTCACTGTCAACACTTAACAAAATGACACATTGTAATATAAAATTTCAAATAATAACCAAAACTTATAATGTTCAATATAAAAGGACAATGTATTCACTTCCATCTGTATATAAGACATACAAATATATATACTGTAATAATATGCCTCCGTTAAAAATGTACAGTATATGTGGACCCATCGATTTACTAAAATAGATATTTTCCTAATACATAGACTCTTGAAAGATTTGTTTTTAAAAAATTCAACCAAATATAAATGGGCACCTACAAGATGAACTGGTCTCTCCAGAGTCATTTGGGATTTAAAGTATCTGTGCTAAAAATTAAAAAAAAAATGACTTCATAAACAGACTCTTTAGGAGATGTATAGGCCCCCAAAATCATTATTTCTGTCTCAGGGGCTTTTCTTGTTCCTATTTCAGAGGTGGGGGTGGGGAGGGAGTAGGGATTGATACAATCCCAAATCACAAACACACTGATTTTTTTTTTTTTACTACAAAAAAGGAACTGTGATTTAATGACCCCAATGTGCATGCTTCCAAATGATCACCATGAAAACTCTAATTTAAAATCAAACAAAAAGTAAAACAAAAAAACCAAACCAAAACAAAACAAACAAACAAAAAAAAAAAACAAAACCAAAAGAAACCACAACAAAACCACACACATCACAGGAAGGGCAGGTCGCAGGGATATCCTTGCAGCCCTCGGGGAAATTGTCATATGTCGCTGTATCAAAATAGCCTTTGGGCCCCCAGAACTTTCTAGATATGCCCCTGCTCAAGTATGGCAGGAAGATTCATCTCAGAAGAAGAAAAAGCTAATTTGTAAGCGACTTTGAGGAGCCCTATATCATGTTGTTAGGATTTTCAAGTACCACACACACAGCTGTAGTGAGAAACAAAGCCAGTAACTCTCTTATCCACTGCGCTGTTACCTGACGCAGATTCCTGGTGACTTTCACATCATGCCAGGCATTATCATTAAATTTTCCATTCACGGGCTCCACTAGTGCTTCAAAGGCCCCTGATCCCAAATTAATGACCAGAGAGACAGCTCCATTTTTCAGGGCAAGATTGACATAATCAGCTGATTTCCCGGTGTGAAGCATCAGTCCATTCCTCTGAAGAGTTTTAAAGGACAGAGTTATTTCGTCGCTGCTGCTTTGAATGGGGTTTTGAGACAAGTCGTAGCAGAAGTATTCAGATCCCTTGAAAGTCGCAATATATTCTTCTTTTCCTAGAGGGAAACAGATACATATGTGCATGAGTAAAGAAATATACTATGTACATCAGCAGACCTTAACAGAAACAAAATTAATCAGCCCCCAAATTAACTCTGTCTAATTAACATTCATGACAAGTGCCTTGTCAAACAGAGTCAAAAGGTACTGTAGGTGGCAGTATATTTTTAATAAACCTCCTCAGCTATTGGACCATCAGCTGCAATAGCTAAAGCTGACATTCTCGAAAATTCAATTAGTTTTTAAGTATCACTGCAAGAGCTCTGATCAGAGCGAGTAGCTCTGTGATATCTCCAGGGCATGAATCAGGTACCATAAATGCATATTGGATGGTTCTACTCTGCTGGCAACAATGGGTTCCAATGTGTTTGCAACATTCTCTCCATCCAACTGAGGCGTTATTTTAATTTTCAGTGAGACATTTATATTCAAAGATTTTCTCAGTGAAGAGCCAAATATTTTCATCACTGAGAGACCATAGCAAATTATCTGGTAAGGAGAAAGCAAAGAAAAAGAAAAACATAGAATTGGTCTGGGAGCAAAAAGATCTATAGAGCATGTGCATTCTTTTTTTGATTCCTTTCTAGATGGAGGAAGAAATGATAGCAAGCTTAATGGAGTCTGCTGGATTGTTGATTCATTCCCTGATTTTACCCAGCAGATGGTAGTGCTGGCTTTTATGAGACTGGTAAAAATTCCAGCACATCATCATGGGAATAGCATGTAAATGAAGTCTCAACATTTTCTATATATCTGTCTTTACCATATTTATGAGTAACAATGTGGATCCTACAGGATGTCATACCAATCAACCCAAAATATGGGTATTTGGAAAGAGTAGTCTTCTCCCCCTGATTAAGTGAGTTTAACCACGGGATGAACGTAAGCCAAAAGCTTCCTCAACTTCCTAGGCAATGATGCTATTATGCCAAGAAAAATGAAACAGTTTGGTCTAGAATCAGCTTCTGACAAACTATAAACACAGAATTATAAGTGATACTGGAGAATTGTAATCTGTTTTACCAATAATATAGCATCTCTACCATGTTCATTGGAGGGTTCATGCCAAAAGGGAGCTTACCCTTGGCAATAGGTTTTTAACTCAGGGCTGTTTCATTTGATAGTGAAATAACTCACATCCTTGAATCAGAGCTCAAATCAAAATTTCAGTTCACCAGTGCTTGATGATCTGATTCTCTGGATGCATACTGTGCTACAAGTGGCTACCAGTAGGCTAGGCATGGCACAAAGTTAAAAAGTGAGTCCTCAGGATTTTCACAAGGGAGCGAGCGCTTGAAGAACAGTCACTGCCTACTAGTAAATTACTAGTGATGATAGGTGGTCAAGACAAACCCATCACATTCTAAGGCAGAATCATAGGGCAAGCAAGCGAAACTAGAGAGTTCCTCCCATTCATGCAGTCAAAATATTGGCACTTCCCAAGTGTTAAGCCCAGTACTAGTCTTTAGGGAAAATGGAGTGGCCAAAACTGACCTGATTCCTGTCTCTGAAAGTTTATAGCCCAGGTGTCTACTTCCCCGGTCAATTCAATAAGCAAGTGGCTTGATATTGGGAGCTAACACAACTAAATATTTCTAACTATATATACTGAGAGGGCAAAAAAGTAGGTCAAAATATGAAATAAGATACTAGCTTGCCTACTTGCTAATGCATTGGGGGGCACTTATGCATATTTTTTAAAATCTGAATTTCTGAAAGCAGTTAGTTACACCTGTCTTTCTGGATAAAATGAGATAATGCATGTACAGACATCTAGAAAAGTTGGTAGGCATTAGGAATGGTAGATGCCTTCCTTCTTGTTTAATCTAATAAATGTAATATATAATCTAAAACAAACAGCATATGTCAACTTTATTGCAAAATCTAGAATATTAGCTTTAAAGTCAGAACAAGGATGCCTACTATCAATGTACTATACTTCAAGTCCTGGGTAATGCAGGAAGATAGGAAAACCATATGAGCATTATAAAGATTGTAAGTGACAAAAATCATATTAGTAAATATTATTGTATAAACTGAAAGACCAAAATAATCTTCAGAAAAGTACTAGGTTTAACAAGAATTTCAGAAAGAGGGATCCCTGGGTGGCGCAGCGGTTTGGCGCCTGCCTTTGGCCCAGGGCGCGATCCTGGAGACCCGGGATCGAATCCCACATCGGGCTTCCGGTGCATGGAGCCTGCTTCTCCCTCTGCCTGTGTCTCTGCCTCTCTCTTTCTCTGTGACTATCATAAATAAATAAAAAATTAAAAAAAAAAAGAATTTCAGAAAGAATGAAGGGTTCTATGTACTGTGATAGTCAGTGTTTTAAACATATATAAACAGATCTATAGATTTGAAGAAATTCCATTATAAATCTATATGAAATTTTTCAATGAATGTGAAAAGTGGATTTGGGGATCAAGTCCTGCATCAGGCTCCTTATGAGGAGCCTCTTCTCCCTCTGCCTATGTCTCTACCTCTCTCTCTGTGTGTCTCAAAATCTTAAAAAAAAAAAAAAAAAAAAAAAAAAAAAAAAGCAGATTCTACAAGTTCTTTGTGAAAAATAAAGAGTCAAAATAGCCAAGCTATGCCAGAGAAAGAAGATGAAGGGACTTCCTTGTGGATAGGTGGACATTTATTAGAAAATTATGTTAATGAAGATAATCTATTAGGAAAAATGAAAAAAAAGGGGGATAAAAATAATGAAACTAAAAATAATCCTAACCCTATATGAAAACAATTTATATCAAGTTAGGCATTGCAGTTAAGTGAGCAAAGTATATATTAGTCAATAAATGGCACTGGTACAACTGGTTATCTATAGGAATAAAGTAAAACTGGATCTCTACATCACTTACAAAAATCAATTCTCCATGCACTAAGGATATAAGTTGCTGATGTAAATTTGTAAAATTTTTGTAAGACTAAAAACGTAAGATACTGAATGATGGAATGACTTATTAAATAGGCATAGAAGGTATTAGCAAAATATCAATACACTCAACCATATTAAAAATAGGAACATCTGTTGTTCATGATATTTCACAAAGAGAGAAAGAATCTAAATAAAAAAATGGGAGAAAATATTTTTATACCATATTAATTTAAAAAGGACTACAATCCAGGGTATGCAAAGCACTTTAATAAATCAATATGAAACAAGATGAACAAGGGGAAAATTGGCAAAAGCACAGCACAGTAATTTCATAGAATGAACAAAAAGATGCTCAATCCTATGAGTCTTCTGGGAAAGGCAAAAACCAAATTATAGTTAAATACCATGTTATAACCCTGAAATTGGCAAAAAATGAAAATAAAAGAGAAAAATTTCAGCTTTGGAAAGCCCGGATAAAAAGTAATTCTTACTGCTGATGAGAGGGCTGAAGACATGAAAATTGACCAACTGCAATAAACATTATTTGACATTATATAATCCCATGGGAATTTCTCATAGTGTAAAGGTCTCAGTCCTCAGAAAATGGCTGCCATAATCAATAGAAATAACATTCCCAATTGCTTTCAATTCATGTCTCTCTGCTCATTAATCTGATCCTTTGATGATAGGTGGTCACATGAAATCTAGTTCATATACATATACATACATTATATATGGTGAGATACACTTATCTGAAGATTATACCTGCAGAATTCCATCCCCTACTTAAAATAGGTCGCTAAGCCACAGAGAGTTTTAGAGACCTCCTCTGGCCCAGCCCTTTAATTTATATTATTAAGAAAGTGAGCCAAGAAACAGACCCTTAACTGTAGAGAACAAACTGAGTGATATTGGAGGGGAGATGGGCATGGGGATAGGTTAATTGGCTGATGGGTGTTAAGGAGGGCACTTGCTGTGATAAGCACCAGGTGTTGTATGTAAGTGATGAATCACTAAATTCTCCATCTGAAACTAATATTGCACCATATGGTAACTACCTGTAGTTTAAATAAAAATTTGGAGAAAAAATTTAAGACCCATAAAGTTTAAATGATACCAAATTCAGAAAGCATGCCAGGAACAGAAGCAGAATAGAACACAGCCTCTGACTACCTTTAAATAACTAAAAAAAATAACAAAGTTTGGGAGTGTAAAGAGGTATGGTTTAGTCAAATGGCTGTAGCATTTTATCCAAGTGACCTAATATCATTTCAAATCAGCATAATTCACAATGCATCTTGATAAAGGATTCCTTTGCCAGATTATGTGGCAGACCAAAGGAAAAAAATAGGAAAAAGAGTTTGCAATTCACTAGACAGCAAGTTTTGAAGTTAGTTATATGAGTGTTGATGCCATTTAACACCATAAGGTTTCTATTACTTAAAAATGAAAATATCCTTCTTTTTGTATTGTTTAATTAAAATTTAGGTAATTCAAATTGCATTAAAGGCAACCACAAAAGTCTTGGAAAAAAATCACCATAGAATGTATCATTACCTCAAAAAATCATAAATGAGACATGAATCTAAGCAAGAAACATATTTTTGCTATGTTCTTTTTCATGAAAAAATATGTATTCTATACAAAAATGCATAAATCATTCTATTTTTTACAATGCAAGAGGACTGTTTCCTCCAACTCTTTGTTACTGTGTAGTCTTTGTCATTAAGTTTTGTGCTATGTCATATGCAAGTAAGAAGCAGCCTGGTGAATAATTATTTATGCTTTCCTGTTGAACATGTAAAGAACTGGTTTATTTCCATTTAAAAATACAACTCCCAAATATCTTACGCATTTCCAATATGTGCTAAAACAATAAACACCGAAAAGAAATTAAATGCCAACAACACTTCACAGAACTAAAACAAATAAAACTAGAATTTGTATGGACCCAGAGAAGAACCCAAATAGTCAAAGCAATCTTGAGAAAGAAGAACAAAGCTGGAGGTAACACAATCCCAGATTTCACGATATACTTACAAACCTGTAATATCCAAAACAATATGGTACCAGCACAAAAGTAGACACATAGATCAAT